TAAGCACACATAGCTTCAAGCATGAAACCCTAATTCCAAAAAAGCATGCAAGAAAGCACCATGTGTGCTCACTCTCTTCTGTCACCTCCTCTTACCTTCGATACCGATCTACGCATGTGACCACACTCGAAAACCTTAGAGTTAGACCACAACAACCGAGTTTAATCTTTTAAAACATATATCTTTTTATATATATAAATAGGCCTATATTTAAAATTATAGCTGTTTGATTAGGGTATTAAGAACAAGACTCTAGCCCTTACTTCTTTCTATTTTGGATGTGGGAAGAAACTGAGACCTGTCGGGGCTTTTTATAGCCAAAGGGGGAGGAGAGAGAATGAGATTAAAAAAAGAAAGATAGATAAACTCAAATCTCTCTCATGAATTATTATTGGTAAAGATTGTGTTCCGTTTTCTTAGTTTTAACCACGTGAATTGTGATCTATATTTACTAAGATGCCGACTTACCAGTTACCACTTGATTAGTTCTTCTATAAACCCTAAAATTCGAGTCTCTCATTATCTTTCCGGTATGTATTTTTTTTTTTTTTAATAAACCGTGGAAAATCCAAAATTTTGATTCATAATCTTCTAGCATCCGGAATCAGTTTTTGGATATTTCTATTTAAAAAATAATCCTCCATACCAAAAAGACACAAAAAACCAATTCTTTGCATATGAAAATTTCACCCCGTTTAAGACTTACATTGTTTCTTCCAAATAAAGTGGAATTATAATTAAAAACTTTGAATACTCACCTTAAAATTGCTAGATCACCACCGTTTGGTTACTACTTGACATGCTTATATTAAATAAAAACACAAACAGATTAAAAATATATATATCAAACATAATTTACTAATTAACTATAATCATAAAAGCGTGAAATAGTTTTTCTTTATTTGCACTCAATTGCTGTAAACACACACATATACATAATACCGCAAATATGCTTTAGCAGAAAACAAAAACCAAACGGTGGTGATCATAAAACCTTAATTTTCA